TTTGTCCCTACTCGCACAATGTGGCCACTGATATTGCTGAACAATTACTTGCTCAATAATTTCAAGCAGACTAATGCTGGGCCCAATCCGGCAAAATGCTGAGCACGCCGGACACCCACCCACCTCGCTGGAAGCCAAGGGCACTGGATGCTTTGCAGAAAGTACCTTTCAGGCGGGTTTGCAATGAATCACGACACAGGCAGCAGCAAAGCACTTTCCATTGTCATGGTCAAAGTTTAAGTGCTTTGCAATGACGGCAACTGCCTTCCACTTAGACTATATCCAGCTACGTGTGGGCCAGGAGGAATCTGCAAACCAGTGGTGCTGGAATATCTCCCATACTGCTGGCTTGTCCATGGGGGGAGTGGAGGGGAGCAGGGGTGAAAAAATTGTTGCGACAGACCTAGACTAACCCAGCCAGCACTAGAAGGCCGATCAATGGTGATGGATGACAAGAGGGAGAAAAAAGGCACTCAAGATCCTGTAGGCACTTCACTGCATTCAAGGTGTTTAAGACACTGTCAGTTCCCCCGCACTTCCCAAACCCACTCCTCCCTGTTTTAGGAGATACCCATACTATAGATCCACCACTTCTTTCCCACTGAAATCCCCCAAAGACAGGCACAACGTGCTGCCTAAGCAAGGGGCTCTTCCCCAGACCATCTCGAGCTACCGAGGCAGGCCCAGGATGGACCGTGGTGGCTCAGTGCTCAGCGCTCAGCCGCACTATTATGCAAAGGTTTGAGGATGCAAAGAACTCGACTGAATTTGCTGGGGTGCAGCTTGGGCCAGCTGGATTCATTACCTGCGTTGCTATGGTAATGTTCTGGGTTTTATGACAACGGCTATAGGATCTTGAGCGACCATGAGTGCCCAGGATGTGGCTCAAGCACATGGCAACAAACAAAAGCAGGAGCCCTCGAGTCACCCATTCACCCCATTCACCCCGTCTCCCTGGGCAAATAAATAAGTCGGCCTTCTTTATCAGCCACTCCTTCTCCGTGTAGCTGTTAAGGAAAATTCCCACCCCCGCAGCCCTTGATAAAGCAGAGGCCATGCAGACACACGTGCCCCACTGCTGTGGTGAGTCACAGCCGCTGGTGTGTCAAGGAGGCACATTCATTCCCGCGGCGCGTTAGTCAGGAAGCAAGGAGCCAGCCTACCAGGCGGATGTTGTCCTCGGGCCGGAGCAGGATGAACATGGCCTGCAGGTGCTGCTGGAGGTCTCCTGCAGGGAGAGAGGGGGAGAGGTGAGGCCACAGCCCAACACAGCTGCCCGCTGCCCAGCTGCCCTGCCTGCTCCAAGGTCCAGGAACGAGGCAGGCAGTGGCCCCTGCCAGCACCACCGGTCTCTACTCAGGGGTGACAAGCTTCTCTGGCACCCGGGAAGCAGCTCTTCGCTCTGGGCATTCCCTGTCCTCACCTCCCGCAGGCCCCAGCCCCACCACCCCCTCGACAGGAGCTTGTGCTTCCTGGGCAAGCTCCGTTCCTATGACACCAAACACGCTGCAGACAGAGAGGGTCTGCCTTGCCCTCAAGCAACCCCCAAGCCAGGGCTCCCACCTGCATTTCCGGGTGGCCTGGGAAAGGCATACAAGCCTTTCCTGATCCCCCCCAAGACACATTTTAGCCCCCAGAGAGCCCTGGGACTGGGTCTCAACTGGACACAGGCTCTCCACCCAGCAAGAGGCATTCAATGACGGCCCTGTTCCAGACAGCGCCCTGTCCCTGGGAAGAGGGTTCCTTGCCCAACACGGCCATCCTGCAGGGACTGGCTGCCGCAGGGGGAGCAACCGCCAGCACTGTCATCCCATCTCCCTGCTCAGCTGCCCACTCTCCTCCTGCACCCCCAATGCTGCTGGGAGACCAGACTTCCCTGTGCCAGAGGTCACAAGGGCCAGCCCGACTGCGTGCTGGGGGTCGCAGCTCCAGCGTAAAGGATTAAGGATGGCTCCTGGCAGGGACAAAGCCTGCAGCTGAAGCCTTTACACCCGACCAGCAGCTGAGAAAGCGAGCGATGCTTCTCCCAGCAAAGGTGAAGAACTGCGGGTCTCAGGGCTTTGAACTGACAGTGGAGGTGGAACTGGAGGCCAGCACCTTGTAGCATCCCTCACAACACACCAAGTGTTGCACAGCGGCTTCAGAGAAGAGAGTGCACAAGCAACTTGCCGAGCCGGTTTCTCTTCCTGGGAGGCTCCAAGGCCAGTCAGCCAGGGAGCAGACAGACGCACAGAAGCAGCTGTGTTGTGTTTCTTCTCCTTTTCCTGCTGGCCAGCCGCCTGCCAGGGCAAAGTCCTGAACTTTCAAAGCCGGACGAAGCATCAGGACGCTGTTTAGCTCTGCCTTGACAACCAGCCCAGCTGCGCTCCACGTGTGGGCCTCAGGATGCCACACAGGAGCAGGGAAGGGGCAGATGTGAGCAAGGAGGGCACAACACCGAAGACTGCATGGGCTGTCAGCACGGCTGGTGTTGCAGCGGCAGTCGCTGCGTCTGCCCCTCCGTCCTCTGGCAGATGGTGGTGAAGCAGCAGCCAGGACAGGATGGGAGACAATGCACCTCACCCCTCGCAGGGTTTAGCTTCAGGACAGCTCAGAGCTCTTCATTACAACAGCAACGACAGACATGCGAGCGGTCTCCAGGTGGCACATCCTGCCAGGTGCCCGGGCAGCGCTTGCAGATGGAGACACCAAGGCACCAGGAGGCCAAAGGCTATTACCAGGCAGGCCAAGGACAGTGCTGGGATTAGAACCCAGTTTTCCAGGCAACGGAGACTCCAAGAACGCATCTATTATCTCTGGACACCAGGTAATGAATGCCCCTCGCCCGCAAACAGTTCAGCTCCTGCTTCCATATCTGGAGAGGGCAAGGGCAGATGTAATTTTTTGCGTCCTCATCCAGGGCTGCTTCCTCAGGCACCTCAAAGCCTCTGATGGCAGATGATGGGATGAAACTGCTGTGGAAACCTTGACTCGAGCAGCTGCTTTCCAGGGGGGATAGAGCAGAGTCCAGTGTCTCTGCTGTCTGTTGCTGATACCTGAGCAAACCAGAAGTTTTCAACATCGCCCCAAACCATCCGATCCCAGACGTGCCCTCAATGAATCAGCCCCGTGTACACAATGACCCAGCAGCATTTGGGCTGTGTTCCTCTGAGGCTGACTTGTCAAACAAAGAAAGCAGAAAACAAGCCGAACTTTCAGCGGAGCAGGAAGGTGAAACTCAGACTGCCTTCGTATCATTCATGCTGTTTGTCAGCATCCGGACACCAGTCATGCTGATACGGTGCGGTGTTTTCCTACCAGCATTCACATCCGGAAGGGGACTTTCCTGGTGTGAAGCTGGTTAGGGATCAGGGAGAACAGCCTGCAACCCCTGGTGTTGTGGTGCTAAGTACTGAACCCCTCCCTCCCCACCCAGGACAAAGCTTACGGAATAAGCTGACAGCTGCTGGGCCATTGTGGGTAGATATTCAGGCCGGCGTGTCTCTGCGCTAGCGATCGTTTTGTGTGACCCGGGAGGAAGCTTGCATTCTTGGCAGCGCAGCGGTGGCTCAGCTATTTATGGAGAGCCAGTGACCAAATTTGTGGGCCGTGACAGCCTCCTTAAATCACTGCTTGGATGAGTGCAAGCCAACAATCTTGCAGCCTGCTGGGACCAGCGATGCGGCCCCGTGATGTTTGAACGAGGGGGAACGGTCGCGCCGAGCCTCGCAGCCGTGAGTTGCAGAAGTTGTGTTTACATAAGGCCGTGTGTTGGCGTGCACGTGGCTTCCGTCTGGCTGGCAACGAACCCGGGAGAGGGTGCATTCGGGGACAGGGCAACCAGGCCGCTCTAGCACGTGGGGGCACACTTACCTGCATGCTTGTTGCGCCTGTGGCTGATCCTGGGAGGAGAAGACCCATTTCCTCTCGGCAGGAAGAGTGCGGCCCCTTTCACTGTAAGGAAGCTCTCGCTGATGCTGAAAGAGAAAGATGCAAGAGCATGAGCAAGTGGAACCCAGCCCCCGTCTTTACAGAGAGAAAAGCAACCTGGTGCAAGGGGCCACTCCTTGCTGAGGATGCTCCAGCCCTCTAGAGAAGGCACGCAGGCCCCACCCCATCTCCAGGCAGAAGACAGCAAGCTTTCTTTTCTCCCTAGAGATGTGACAATATGCTCAGGGTGCACCTACAACAGAGCAGTGTGAGCAGAGGGAAAGTGCAGAAGACCCCTCCGATACTTCCACCACGAAACGGCACGCGAGCATGCCTGGGGCAGTCCCCAACAGGGCCTTTGTGATTTGGGTTTCTCAATGCCAACACAGGGCGCAGGCCTGGGATCTGGACTGCCATGCATTTGGATAACTCTGTCCCTCGCTGGTGAGGCAGCCTGCTGATGCCCCGGAGCTGCAACTGCCTTGTGCTGGTAGTTGGCTGAAGGAACATCAGCATACATGACAGATTCATGGACCACAAAAGGCTACTGTCTGATGAATCATATGACAACTGGCTCACAAGAGACTCGTGTGAAGTAAAACCCAAATTAACGCTGTCACCTTAAGCTGCCACTTCTCGCCCTGGCTTTGCCTTGCCATCAAGCAACAAGTGCGAGAAGCATGCCACCGACCCTCTGGAGCCCTTCAGCCACTTTCCTGTCACTGTTTTGAAACAGAGATGCTGAACCAGGGTGCCAGGGCTCCTGGGGTGCCCTACAATCCTTTCAAGGGTGCCAAACCCGATTCCCCGGATAAATCCAGAGTTCTCCAACATGAATCTATACAACCGTCCTGCTCTGCCGTGGTCTTTCTGAGGACTTTGCATCAGAAGAATTACTCTAGTACTTTTCTACAATCAACCCGCCCCCCCAATGAAAACTAAGAGCTGGAATTTTCCAAGTGCGCTTTGAGTCCGAAAAGGTTGAGAATCACTGTTTCAGAAGCAGAAAGTGAGACATGGCACTTGTGCTGGGATCACAGCACCAGCCTCCAGCTTCTGTTCTACTCCAAACTGATCAGCTTAAAACACAACCAAAAAAACTCTAAGAGAGAGAGAGAAAAAAAAGGGTAAACCAGAAACCACAGCCCCGGGCAACAGGACGGACTGCACAAAACGGAGAGAACGCAGGAGTCGCTGCCACCGTGCCCCTGACAGCCCCGTGCCATAAAGCCACCAGCTTGCTACATGCGCTGCCCCCAAGAGACCGGCCACCGTAGTTCCTGCCTCCGTTTAAATAAACCTACAGGCCATTATTTGCTGCTCTGAAAAGCCGAGCTGAGGAAAAGGAAGTTAAAACAACAAAAAGCCCCTCCACGTGTTGGAAGAAAGTCATGAGAATTGGAGAGAAGCTGGAGCGGACCCAGGGAACGCCCTTCATGCATGCGTCTCCTCTTCACAGACAGGGGTCTCAAGTCACCGAGCCAGGCAAGGCACTTCAAGTTAAGTCATTTCAGCCCCTCTGAAGACAGAGGCTTTGCAAAGGATCCTGTTGTCACCCAGAGCAAAGAGCCAGTAGGCCAGAAGCACCCTCAGGTCAGCACCTCCTGACCCAAGGCCTTCAAGCTGGGTAGCCTGACCTCCAAGCAGCTACAAAAGCCCCAGGTCGGAGAGAAAACTGCATTTCCCCAACCTCTGCCAGGACCAAATGCCACCTCTGGGGGAATACTGCCTTCCTTGTTGCAGACGCCTGTCAATTCGGCACCCTCCCAGCTCCCCACCTTTGCTTTTGAGCCTGCCATATCCCAGAGGCCAAAGAGCCTGGAGCACAAATGCTCCGGTGCAGCCTGTGGTCTCCCCTCAGAGTCACCCGTTCCTGGGTCATAACCAAGACCAGATGCATCTTGACACACAGGCGGACATCCCGGCCAAACCCGAGCTAGGGCAGAAAAGACGTTTTCCCCAGCTCAGAACGGATCGAGGATCATTAGTGTGCTCGATAAAGTGGATCGGCGGGCACTCGAAACAGCTGTTTTCTCAGGGAAATGGGCCAAGACCCCTGCACCAAGAATCCCAACCAGCTGCCCTCGGGCACCGGGGGACGGCGACGTTCCCTACGGAGGGTCCGGGCCCCTCGGCTCCTTGAGGCACCCATCGGACATACCAGGAAACTGTTATTTTGAAACCGCGGCTGTGGCAGACCCCCCGTCCCCCCAAACTGGCTGAAGAATCATTGCAGAGGCCTCGGGTTCTGCGGACGTACATTCCTGCTCCCTCCGACTAGCAGGCCAGGTTGCCAACCCACCGGCTCCAGTGCGTGGGGAGGGAAAGCATGGCTCTCTGCCAGGCTGAGCTGCTCCATCCAATGTGATTAGCACGCAGGAAGGGCCCAAGGCAAAGAGGTCCTCTCTTCCCCTCTCCTCTGCACATCCAGGCCCAGGGCACTGTCAGCAGTGCCCAAAGATCGAGCAGCCCTAGGAGAAAGAGCAGCATGGGAACAGCAAACCTCCTCTGTAACCTGGCTGTGGCAGCCCACTCAGTTGCTGCTGGGGGTTTCCCAGGGAAGCTGAACTGGCCTAAGGATGTGGTTAGGGGATTAAGCAGCACGCGCATGGAGAAGCACCAAATGATCTGCACCCAGATGGTCTCTGGGCCGCGCAGTCCCGTACCAACGCTCCGTTTCGCCCGCATCGTGCAACAGAAGGCAGGATGGAGCAAAGGTACAGCCAGCCCCCAAACACCAGCGTGGAGAAAGGCGCCGGGACCACGCCTGGGCTCCACGCGGGCTGGTTCACCATGCCACAGGGCACTCGCTGCAGACACGGAGCACGCTGCGCTCAGGGATCGCAACGTTCCTGTCCTGCCCGTACCTGGCCCTGGAGATGAGCTGTGGGAGGATTCGGCTGCCCTGGTATCTGGGGTGTGCTCCCTTCCAGGTGTGCTCTCGGGCTGGGGCCTCCACGCTGGCAGGATTCTCCAACGCCCCGCACTCAGAAGCAGAGTTCAGCCCCCCGCATCTCCTGGGGCCCTCGGCCCATCGCAGCACCAGGCACATCACCTGGACAAGGGTGCGCCCCGCTGCCCAGAGCTCCCGGCATCACCTGCATGGAAGTCCTTATTCTACTGCAGAACTTGTAACGGGCCCTGGCACAACCCCAGGGGACAACTTTGCTCCATATAGGAGAGTGGGGATGAAGACGAGCCCGAACACCCGCCGTGACAAAGCAAGGAACGCCACGACACCAGGCATTGCTGCTATTCTCTGGGGAGAGGGTATCCCCTTGAGGCCACCCCACCCTGGTGCCAAGGCACTTCTTCATCTGGCACGTTGCACAAGCAAAGCAGGGGCCGTTCGCCCTTGCACGGCTTCCCTTTGCAGACACTGCCCAAAATGAGAAGGAAGAGGGAGGCTCCAGGCCCCAGACACCTCAGGCAAGTCCAGTCACAGGGCCAAAGGCCCCTGGATGGGTATCGAGTCCAACCCCGACCACCCCGTGCGAAGCACTGGACTGGCTGCTCCCTCCTGACAGCCCCACCTCGGATGGCTGTTTCTTCGTGAAGCATCCTAGGACCTGGACACTCCTTTCAAAGCACTACATGGAGCCCCCTCACTTCCTAAAAGGACGTGGTGAAAGGAAAAGCCTGGTCACGGCCTCAGCTGACCAGCGGTCAATCATGCCAACCCGGTGGTTGTTCCTGCTGAAGAACCAGGGATGTGTCCGGGCCAGCCACCGCCACAGCCAGGGGCCCACAGGGCACCGTGATCACCGAGCAAACCCCTCACACGAGTTCAATGCCCCAAGGGGAATAAAACCAGCTGCAGAACTGAAGAGCAACCCCAGACAGACGCGAGGTTCGACCGCAGGGTTTCCAAGCGGTCTCCAGTTACAAAGCGGTGACGGGCCACGCTTGGCTTTGTTCTTCTCCTTGGCATTACAGAGAGACCTTTTCAGAGAAGGTTTCACGGGCAATGCCCGGCTCAGAATCAAGTATGCCCGAACCGAGTCTAGCTTTGCCAGCTGGGTGGCATGTTTGGGACTGCGTGCACAGGCAAGGGTGGCACTGGCATGATGGCAGCAAGCAGGTCTGACCGGCTCTCGAGAAAGACACATTTCTACTCAAGCAGAAGGTGATGACTTCTCATCTCGTGGAGGCGAGATGTACACCTTGCTGGGGTCGTTTGACCCCAGTACTCTTTCCTGCAATGGCAGGGGGTCGGACTCGATGATCCGCTCAGGTCCTTTCCGACCCTAGAAACTATGAAACCCCACATATCCCCTCGCCCCTCTGAATTCAATGGAAAGTTGCACCAGGGGAGCTAGAAATCTGCACATCTGTAACCGGACGCAAGGCACCAACAGGCACAAAGTCTGCAGGCTTCCCTGCTTGCTCGTAAAGGGCTGGGCATTACGATGCTGCACATTACGGACACAGCCCTTCTCATACCATGCAGCTGGGAGTCTAGAACGGCCTTGTCCTGAATGGATTCTGCCTTGCGAGGCAGCCGGCTCCCCGGAGGCACCTACATGCTTCCTCAGGTGCTCGGAGATGCATGCAGTTGTCACACCTAGCATGTGAGCGAGCTGCAAGACAGACCCCAGCCAGGTACTTACAAGGCAGGGCCCTGAACTTCCTCCTGCTATCAGCCTGTGCCCAGGTAAACTACATCTTGTCGCAACCCCGATCCGATTCATGCACCACTGAGCAGGACGGTGCCGTTTCAGTGCCTGGCACTGCTGCAGTGCTCTGTGCTTCCAGACGCTCCTTGCCATGCACCTGGGTGGGGGGGACTGTCCTGCATTGCTCACCAGTCTTCAGCAGCCCCCAACATAAGCCACTGTAAAGAGGGCAGTTGCAGACGCAGTCTTCAAAAGCTGGGGGAAGGCTGGCTCAGCAGCCCAGGGAGAGAAGCCGAAGCACCTGGGCTGCTTCTGGCACTGGCCTGCCCCGGTGCGTGCTTAACTGGGTTATTGTGAACCAGAGGAAGTCTTGCCAGTCAGCTCAGCTTATTCATCAGCCTGTAGCTTCCTTCTACAGCTTTGCCCAGCCC